TATTTTGCACCCTTTAAATTTGGTATTTTACTGATTGTACTCCCAAAGAATTTTGCATTTTGAGCTCTCATTGGACGGATTATTGTCACATGAAAGAAGTAGGACCACGCTTTGAAATGAGCCCCATTAGGATTTTTCGGTAATTTTTATTTGTTTAAATGTGTTCGCATCTTCCAGCTGAACTACGATGTCGGCCCTGTCGTATTTCGCACTTATTTCATTTTTTGGTGCAAAATTGTATGTAGTGAAAAATTATTCTTTATTTTGTTCACAAAAAATCCACTGAATTCAATATGATAATACAAATTGAAAAAAATTGACAAAAGAATAATAACAAATTGAAAAAATCTTCAACTTGTTCGCTGATTTTTTACAGCAAATGTTTAAAGATCCTTACAAAGTTTATCAATAGAATGTACTATTATTTTAAAATTCGCTTCCATTGAAATTTGTTTTCGATTTTTTCCCGATTTGACAATTTTTGCAATTAAATCTTTTTTTTTCGTGATTTTTTAGCGATTTTGAAAAAGTAATTATCTTTTAACTTTGGTGAGACGGCGTTAAATTATTTCGATATCATCTATTCCGTTTCGCCACCTAATTCGGTACTACATTTCCATGTAACACCCATCAATTTCAGTTCTCAAGAAATCAAGTCAATTAAATAAATTGGTATTAATATTCGAATTCAAAAATAAATTATAAAAAACACTACAAATGTACATTAGAAAAAAGAAAGTCAAAATGGAAAAAAAAATCATGCAAAATAAAACATTGCTATTGTACATTTGAAAAGTCAAAATGAAAATGTTAATATATCACATTTTTACGCGATTTTTTTGGATATTATCCTTTTCGGAGAGGAGACAATTCCGAATTTGTGTGAATCGTTAAAATCAGTCCAGCGGTTCTTAAGTTATAAGCGTAGTAACTAACACAACTTACATTTATATATATAGATATATATATATATATATATATATATATATATATATATATATATATATATATATATATATATATATATACATATATATATAATTGTTTGGTGCATAAAATAAATAAAATCGACCGATATATATAGGAGCTGTACCCAAAGCTCAACTGATTTCAAAATAATTTGGCAAATTTATTTTTGTACAAAATTTCAAACAAAATTTCGTCTCTGTCCGAATTTCATTGGCATTGGATATACATATCATGCTTCTACATAATTTGACAAAATTGCGTTTGCTCCACATTCCGTAGTGCACTCTACATTTGAAGACTATATTTGCAATCAATCAAATGACATGTGCATATAAAAACTAAATTTTTTTAAAATACCTCCGATTCTGATGCTATATCTTCCGTTCCAAGGGGAATTTAAAAAATTTATATAATCTTTATTACTTTCAGGCTATGCTGTAGTTTATTTGGGAATTTTCAGGAAAATCTGTTCAGCAGTTTTTAGGTCTATAAATTACAAACAAAGAAACAATCAAGCGTACGTATGTTCCTTTTTTATAAATATAGATGAAGACATATATTCATGATATACAGTTACAGAGTTGAACATAAGATCCACAGGGAATGGAAAAAAGATCCACAGGGAAAAAAAACACTCCATTTACTTAGTAAAAGTGTGTTCTATAGCCAATTTATATGTTCCCATAAATGGGCTTTGTGTACGAAACATGCGGAATAGGAAGCAAATTCTTCGAAACCTATAACTAAATCTGAAGCGATATAAAAATATTTTTCCAAGGTACATTTGAGATCCTGTACCAAATATGTCCCCTAAAGAATGTGTATTGCGTCCGTGTAACAGTACTAACAATACTATTAATCCACATTTAGGATTTATTGCTTACCCCGAATATTAAGAATAGAATATCCACTCGATTTCAAATGACAATTCCCTAGCGAATATGTCACGTAAATCGTATTCATAAATGCAGTGGATAGATATTATTTGACATATACGCCATGGAATTGACATTTGTCATCGAGTGGAGTTCGTAAATCTAAGCCCTAATTCCTTTACATTTAATCAGCATTGTCTCAACTGAGATACATTTCCACGTTTCTAAAGTAACACTGGTTAAATCCTGATTGTACAAAATACTTTGTACATACTTTTGAGTGCGATTGAGGCGCTGGGAAAATAAAAATAAATGGTCTAAAATTAAATATTTCCCAGCCGCCATAAAATATCACATATGAAGAATTCAGTGATCTTGTGCGCTGACGCATACGATAATGTGTGAGATAATAAAGGTTATGACCCACAGACACAGATGCGTTCAGTAGATGCACAAGACCACTTGAATGAAATTACAAGCAGCCCTGCAATGTTCTCCATTCAATATTAGAATAGATAAGAACAATTGTGTGGCTGCGACTAGGTTAAGTTAGATTAGTTTCAGTAGTACGTAAGGAACATATTTCTTAAATAAAATCAGAATTGAATTTACAGCCAAACCATTAGGTCGGTTTTCTCTTCTCACTTATTGGTCATTCGAGCCTTCACTTTTGTCAAAGTGAAAGGATCTAGCGACTTTTAGAAGAAAATAGTAGGAGTTTTCCCCCACCAGTGGTAAGAGACTCACTACAAGCAGAAGTAGCTATTCTTCAAAAAAGAGGAGAATAGCTACCAGTAAAAATCAATTGAGGGATAAAATTATAAAGAGCCATAAAGGCAAAATTTAAAAAATATATATATTTAAAAAAAGGCCCACGGGCAAATTAAAAAAAAAGAGGACAATAACAATCCCACATAAAAATATACAATTTTGGAAAAGAGGACATCAAAGTCCCAACTGAAAAAATCAAAAAATCGAAAAAAGCCAAGAAGGCAATATAAAAAAGTTTTGAAAAGAGGACAAATAGTCCCATCTAAAACATTTAAATTAAAAATGAATAAAAAAGTGGAAGAAGATATTACCACTTTGGTAGACTATTTCCAGTCATTAACTTCGACGTCAGCCTTTGAAAAGGTGAAACACGTCGCGGCATGGAAGGTACTGGTAGAAAATTCATATTACCAGTTACGACGGTACTTGAGGGTTCACCACAAATACTTTCCAACCCATATGAAGACATTGTGCTGTGATGTGGATATGTGTATGTTATCAGCAATGAAGCTTTTAGCAACCCGGAGTCGCAATAACACAGACTTGGACATCGATGAAGAAATCGAAGATTCGATGAAACCCCCATTACGATGGACACTCTCGCTGAAATGTGACTATTTAACTTGGGAAGAGCAAGTGGAAGAAAACAGACAACTTAACTATGTCGAAACAAAGGAAGATTACGACAGAGAATTAGAAGATGGCTTGCACGAACAAACGCAAGCCTATGAAAATAATTTACAATCTCTGCAGGGGCAAGCAATCGAATTGCGTTCTCAACTAACAATCGAAGTGGAAAAAAGTGAAATGATATTGAGAAATGCGAAGGCCCACGAAAAATATCTGCTCGCCAAATCTGAAGAAAGCCGGCGAGCCAAAGATGAACAATTCGAAGAAAAACATCGTGTTCAGAAAGATCAAGTGCGACATCTGAAAATGAAGTTAGAGAAAGTCAATGAAAAATTGGCTAGCTCGGAAAGAGCGCGGCAAGTCTTGGAAGCTGAGAGAGATGACATGTCTAAACAAGTGGAAAATTTAAGAATTAAACATGATGCTGCTCAACTAAAGCAGATTCCTTGCTTAGAAGTAAATATTGTGAAATTGTTCCCGCCGGCAAGTCCTCATTTTGAGGAACGGAAAGAAGAAGAATCCGCCCTGAGCAATGAAGCACTCGGTGAAGAACGAATGGATTCACGTGCAGAAGGCCCCAACATGTTCGGCGGATACGGGGATGTTGATTACGACAACGATTCAAGAAGAAAAGAAGGAATGCCTCTACGTACAGAAGGTCCATTCATTTCCAACGAATATGAAAAAGAATACAACGAAGAAATGGGTAAAGCCGAACAAAGTTCTCTGGTTCCGGTTCTTGAACGGTATTGCCTTAGAAAAACCAATAGCAAATCATCGATGGCCGTATAAACAGAACACGACAAAGCAGAGCGTACCATGGAGCCAATGGTAATCCTTTCCGACGTGAATGATGGCGGTCTGCATCGATGGACTATGAATGCGGTATGGAGAATGAAGCCGGCAGATAAAGGTGGTGGCATTGGAAAGAAGGATTGGACAAAGAAATGGAGTCGTTTCCTGGAAGCAGTTACTTAATTGAATATTTATATTGTTTAAGCATATATAGTTAGTTTTCTTTTAATATTTTTATATTTAAATATTTTATAGTATACATTTATTCAACTTTATAAAAATACAGTCCACTATTAACATACGCATTTAAGCCGCCCGGGAGAATGTACAAAATACTTTGTACATACTTTTGAGTGCGATTGAGGCGCTGGGAAAATGTAGCAATAAAAAATAAATGTTCTAAAATTAAATATTTCCCAGCCGCCATAAAATATCACCTGTGAAGAATTCAGTGATCTTGTGCTCTGACGCATACGATAATGTGTGAGATTATAAAGGTTATGACCCACAGGCACAGATGCGTTCAGTAGATGCACAAGACCACTTGAATGATATGTCAAGCAGCCCTGCAATGTTCTCCAGTCAATATTATAATAGATAAGAACAATTGTGTGGTTGCGACTAGGTTAAGTTAGATTAGTTTCAGTAGTACGTAAGGAACATATTTTAGAAATAAAATTAAAATTGAAACAACAGCCTAACCATTCGGTGGGTTTTCTCTTCTCATTCACTGATAATGTGGCTTAATCCGAATAAAACTTTGTATTTAAACACGCTATAAGAAACAATAAATTCTAATTTTGAAACACAAAAAGAATTCCTAAGTCAAGATTGAGAATTCATCGTTTTTAATGACTAACCCAATACCAAGCTATTCCGTGTTAATTCATCTGTTAAATGACACACCAATACAATATCATTTGTGACGAGGCAGAACAATCAAAATTCGTTTACATGGTCTTTGTTTTTGATAATTTTTGAGGTTTTTTTATTTAAATTATATTAGACACGCACTTTAAAATCGATGATAGACAATAAATAGTAAATAAAACATGAGACAGGGAACATGAAAATAATTATATGGTGGCCTAATGTTTCTTTACGGCAATTTAAATAATAATAAATAACTAAATTTGTAGTTTGTTAATTGTCTTGCAGCGGCGTCATGACAATTTCAAAAGAGAATTGAAATAAATTACGTAACATACATATGTATCTATGGCCAATGGGGGATTTTTGTACATACATAAATAGTGGCGGTGGTGCATTTGGCGCACTTAAGGAAATACGAATTTGGTGATTTCACCGCGCAAGCACGTGAAAATGGTGTAGGCTGCTTCACAGTTGTTCTTCACACCGACAGCAACATCTTTGCACTTGGCCAAGCCAGCCCTGTATTCTTCTTTGTAATGATCGGGCATAAGAATTTCCACTTGCTTCAAAGAGGCTTCATACAAGAATTTACCCTTTTTCATCTATTCAATGGACCAAAAAAAAAGAAAGAAAAGGGAAATGATTTCACCCATAATGTCATAGTTATGAAACTGCATACCGTTTGCATCATCTCCAATATACAATTGACATAGCACTTGGCATCCTTTTCATTGGGCAAGTTACCAGCTCGTATTCCATCAGCAATTTCTTTAGTTACTTTGGGAAACTTGGGTAAACATACGTCACGCATAAGACCTCCGGCTGCCCACATCTGCTCTTCAGTGGCCTGTGGGAGAAAAATTGAAAATATTTACAAGGGGAGTACACAGGAGTGGAGAAATATCCAATACAGGGTGAGATAAAAAACTGCAACAAAGCTAAACGACATAATTTTTACATTTTATTTAAATTTTATTGAATGAAAGCCAAAAATTTCGAAAATAGAATTTTAGAATATGTTTAGATTTGTTCGAATTGGTCACCTTTGGCACGAATTATGGCCTTCAAACTGCCGTCACCCGCTTGCTTGAGGTGCCAATGCTTTGGTATTTTTTAGTGCCAACCTTGCTTCCCAAAATACTCCAGACACAATAGTCCAACGGATTGGTATCCGGAGATTTTGGTGGCCATTGTGCGCTGGAAATGAAGCGAGGAACCTCATTTTGTAACCATTCTTGATTGGCGCGTGTTGAGTGTGATGGTGCTGAGTCTTGTTGGAATGTCCAAGGTCTACGGCCAAAATGTTTCAATGCCCAAGGCTTTAATACACACTTCGGTCCCTATTCGGCATTTATTCTGATGCCACGGTCGATTAATACGAGCGGAGAGCGACCATCGGCTGTTATGGCTGCCCACACCATCACCATGGCCGGCGCTTGAGTTCTGGTGGCCAACCGAAGGTGCACATTTTCAGCTGACCTCTTTGGCAAGTAAACACGATCATTTTGTTTATTTACAAACTGCTGGACAACGAAAGTTTTCTCATCGAAGAAAACCAAAATCGGCAGTTCACCACTACCACTTTCGGCCAAGCGAAGCAACTCTTTAGCTCTTTTGAGCCTATTTTCTTTAAGCTGCGGAGTAAGTTATTGGAATTTCAATGGCTTTACCCCGAGCTCATTTTTCAATATTTGCCGGATGGAATATTCCAATATGTTCTTATCACGAGCCATTTTTCGGCCATTGCGACGCGGGTTTCGATCAAGTCGCTTCTTTACTTTTCTGATGCTGATGTTGCTGTTTTCTTCCGTCCACTTCCTTGACGTCGAGCGATGTTACGAGACACAAAATATTTATTCACATTTAAATGCTGGAGTGCTCTAACGATAATCACTTGTGATTTTTCAGCCAAATATACTATCATCATACTATCATGCTTGAATTCCATCACGAATAACTTTTTTTCTGGAAAATTCTCACCAAAATACTTCTGTACGCTTGTAAACAATATAATGAGCTGTCACTTGAATAATTTTAACAGCTGTCGGATGAGTGGCTTAGAAATGACAGTAGTCTGTAGTTGGTTGCAGTTTTTTCATCTCACCCTGTATTTGCCTAGGTTGCGTGTCTACGCCTTTTTCAGTCGTAATTCGAATAACTTATTCCAGTTGTAATTCGACTTATTTCAGTTGTTATTCGAGAATTCCAACATAATTCGAATTATTCCATTTTTAGTTTGAATTATTCCAATTGTAATTCGAATGACTCCATTTGTAATTCTAATTTTTCCATTTGAAATTACAAACCGAATTATTCGAATTATAATTAGAAAAAAAAAATAAATTACAAATGAAACAGTTTAAATTGCAATTAGAAAACTTCGAATTACGAATGAAACAATTGGAGTAATTGAAATTAAAAATGGAATAATTCGAATTACAGTTGAAATGATTATTATCGAATCAAAAATAGAATTCTTAAATTGCAATTAAAATGTTTCAAATTACATTTGAAAGGTGTTAGACCTTGCAACATAGATTGAAATACTTTTGTAAACTGTATACTAAATAGTGGACCTCCATATTCTCTTTTTAGGAAAATTTTTCTTTTGAGAACCTTTAATTTTATATTGCTGCTGATTCAAATGAAAAATATTCCGTAACATGGGAGCTATAACAAAAGTTGTGGTCCGTTTGGATGTCTTCCCTCAGAAAAGACAAAATTGCCACTTTATCCAAAATGCTGTTGAATAATATATATGATATATTGGAGCTATAATATACCTGGATCTATACATCCATTTTAAGTCTCAAAATTTGTACATCCCTAAAATATATAGGAGCATAATTGCATAATGTAAACAACGAATTTGCCGAAACATTTGCGACTTTGGAATGTACCGCAGTAAGAATGTAAAAGGGCAACGATTCATTCCGTTAGTATGTCGATGTTCACAAAATTTTAAATAAATTCGGTCGTGAGAAGATATGATTTTGTATGGTTGAATAAATCTGGATTAAATCACTACATATAAAATTATCTAAACTCGCTATTAGTAACCTAGCATAAAGATGGGATATTACAGAGTCAATATATTAAACCCAGCTGATTTACCTCTGCTCTGACGATATCGTATTAACAATGTTAAGCGATTATAACTGCAATGATAATATTCAATAAAATGATTAAGAGGTCTTTTTTTAGCTATTGTCGTTTTTTTTTTCATCACCGATTTAAACAGCTCACGTACGTTTTGTGTTTTGTTTCACTGTCAAACATCTTAAATTTGGTCTAACAACACTTGCAAATACTTCAATTTTATTATTAAAACAAGTAAAAAAACATTAAGTTCGGCCGGGCCAAACTTCCAATACCCTCCACCTTAGGGTAAAGGAAACATTAGAAGAAATGTGGCAAAAATCATTAAAATGCCGAATATCGGGAGGTACCGTTATATGGGGGCTATACCAAATCGCGGACCTACACATGCAATGTTTCCCCAAAGGAGCTAGAACCCATTATGACCTACAAATACCAATTTTCAGACAAATCCGCGAAAAATGTGGCAAAAATCATCAAATTAGCGAATATCGGGAGGTTCCGTTGTATGAGGGCTATACCAAAACGTGGACCTATAATTACAATGACTCGCCACACGAACTGGGACCCATAATTATCTACAACCACCAATTTTCAGACAAATTCGTGAATAAAATGTGTCAAAAATCATCAAAATACCGAATATTGGGAGGTACCGTTATATGGGGACTATACCAAAACGTGAACCTATACATACAATGTTTCGCCACACGAACTAGGACCCATTATAAATACCATTACAAATACCAATTTTTAGACAAATCAGTTAAAACAAGTGAAAAAGCTGTAAGTTCGGCCGGGCCGAACTTTTAATACCCTCCACCATTTGGTACAAATTTGGCAATTTCCAAAAAATAAAACCCGTTAAAAATTCTGTTAATATCTTAAAAATACCGAATGCTTATACGACGACGTGGGCCTGCATAGGCAACTTTTATCATAAATTATTACAATATTTAAATGCGAAACTTGAAGAAAAATCTGTTTATAATGTAGCTAAAATCATCAAAACACCGAATATGGGGGGTACCGTTATATGGGGGCTATACGAAGACGTGGACCTGCACAGACAATTTTCTGGCATGGGCTGAAGTATCCATTACGAACTTCAAATGCGAAATTTGAAACAATCCCTGTAAATAATGTGGCTAAAATCATCAAAATACCGAATATCGGGGGTACCGTTATATGGGGGCTATATGAAGACGTGGACCTATATGGCTCATTTTTTGATTTAGGATGTAGTATCCATTACGAACTTCAAATACCACATTTGAAAAGATTCCGGTAAACAATGTCGCTAAAATCATCAAAATACCGAATATCGGGGGTACCGTTATATGGGGGCTACACAGAGACGTGGACCTGCACAGATAATTTTCTGTCTTAGGCTGTAGTATCCGTTACGAACTTCAAATGCCAAATTTGAAATAATTCCGGTGAATAATGTGGCTAAAATCATCAAAATACCGAATATCGGGAGGTACCGTTATATGGGGGCTATATGATAACTTGGACCTACATGGCCCATTTACGAACTTAACCAGCCTACTGGATGTATATATAGATATATATATATATATATATATATATATATATATATATATATATATATATATATATATATATATATATATTCTTGATCAACGTAGAATTCGAAGTCTATTTTCGTAAAGCCCCCATATAACGGTACCTCCAAATATTCGGTATGTTGATGACTTTAGGGACATTTTTACCGGAATTGTTTTAAAGTTTCGTATTTGAAGGTCGTAATGGGTAATACAGTTTATGACAAAAAATACTCATGAAGGAACACGTCTTCGTATAACCCCCGTATAATGGGTATCATTGGAGAGGTATTTTTCTATGGATTTTTATACCCTCCATCTTGGAAACTTTGTCATTCTGTTTATAACATCCCTAAATATTCATAATCAGCATAAAATTTTAAGCCGATTTAACGATGTCCGTCTGTCAGCCTGTCGGTTGAAATCAAAATTATTTCACGTAGAGCGTCAACATTTAGTAGAAAAATGTGTATTGTGTCTAGGATAATTGGTATTGAGAATGAGATATATCGGTCCACGTTTTGGTATAGTCCCCATATCGGTACCTTTAGATTTTTGTTACATTTCTCCAAAGATTCTTTAAAAATTTGTATTTGTAAGTCATAATGGGTTGTAGCTCGTGTGGCGAAACATTGTATGTATGGGTCCACGTTTTGGTGTAGCCCCCATACAACGGTACCTCCCGTTATTCGGTATTTTGATGATTTTTGACACATGTAGAATTTTATGGTGATCAAGAATATATATACTGTGTGAGGTCTAAAATGTATATTTCGAAGTGTTACAAACGGAATGACAAACTTAGGGTACGCAAATGAACGTAGGGCCAACGGATCTTCACGATTTTTGAGGGTTTCGCTTCGTTTAACCCATATTAGTTTAGAATTTGCTATTTTGACTTCTCAAACGATATTTTTCTTCGTAGTATAAAGTTCATATTACGTTATCACTCAATCTATGAACATCTATGGGTCTGAAAACATTTTACAACTGACTACTCAGAATTGTTTGCATTCTAAAAATATTATTTTACAGCGTTACCTAAAATTCGACAGACTTTTTTTCACCACACAAGTAAAACATATGAGAGTTATCCAAATACGTCGGGGTTACAAAATTTCAAAGTTATACATTTTCAACGTTGACAATTGAACAATTTCTTGTTATACCCCACACCACAAGGTGGTCAGGGTATTATGTTTTTGTGCATTTGTTTGTAACAGGCAAAGGGAAACGAGATAGACCCATAGTTCCTTCTGATGATCTGCATAGAATCACTTTCTGAGTTGATTTATGCATGCCAGTCCGTCCGTCCGTCCGTCCGTCCGTCCGTCTGTCCATGTATTCATGTGAACAAAATGCAGGTCGCATTTATTATTTGATTGAGATAAAATTTTCCAAACAACATTTGTTTTGGCCCAAGGACGAACCCTATTGAAATTGGAGATAATCGGTAAAAATTTAGATATAGCTCCCATATATATCTTCGTCCGATTTGCCTTTTATTGTGCACCAAACGTGTAATATCAGCCCGAATAGTATGGAATTTTGCACATACTACCAAATTAGGCCTGAAAGTAAGTATGCCAAATTTGATCGAAATCGGTTCAGATATAGCTATAGCTCCCATATATATTGTTCATCCGATTAGTTATTTTTGTCCTCCGCAGGCGTAGTATGCACTCTGTAACAATCAATGATACATTTGCTTAATTTTATCGAGATCGGTTCAGATTTGGATATAGCTATAACTTCGTCCGTTTTACCTTTTAGTGTGCACCAAACCAAATGGGATGGAATTTGACACTTACAACCGAATTGAAAGTAGAAGCTAGTATGTCAAAGAGATCGGTTCAGATATAGCTCTAGCTTCCATATATGCTGTTCATCCGATTTGTTATATTTGTTACCCATTGCCGTAATATGCACTCTGTAACAACGATATTCCGGAAAATATATCAAATACAGCTCAGAAATATGGAGATCGGTTCAGATTGTTATGCGGAGCTCTTCTAAATTAGCAAAGTGGTGTAGGGTATCATAAAGTCGGCCCGACCGACTTTAAGACATTCTTTACTGATTTTTAATTAGAAAATATGACAATTGGATGAATGTTAAAAATGATTCATTTTTTCAACGTAATTAGTCGGAAGATTTTAAAATATGGGCCGGGCGTATTTGGGTAATACGGACATGTACATTGAACATTAGTATACCTTACGTTGAATTTTAGGAAACACTGTTTAAAATAATTTGGTGCATTCGAATATATTTTCCACACTTTTCATTTCCTCGCGAAGGAGAGTTCACACGTTCGACCCGAACGAATTGAGGCCCTCCTTTACTCGTTTATTATTAAATGTCCTTAAATATGTGGGACAATAAAGTTTTGCTTACTCGGTTCTTTAATCAGTTTACCAATTTCGATGTTCTGAAAAATACCCGTTTTGTGTGGCACTTGTCTATCGTAAAGGCATTCTATCATCTATTTCTATATTTTCTTTTTGAATATATGTTTATAACTCGGACATCCATTCAATTAAACACTTACACCACCAACGACATCCTGCACACGGAATATACACACCACAGCACTAATTGCAAATACAATATTCATTGTTGAAATCATGTTTTACTTCACTTTAAATTCAAATTCAAAATCACTGAAACACACAGTTTGTTTTTTTCCTTTCTTTCTTTCTTTGAACTCCACAAACGGTGACGACGAGAGCAACAGAGTGTCTTGGTCTTGGTTTGATTCGTAAGAGGTTTCAAAAGTTATTAGATGAAATCAATCAAGAAACAATAGCTTTATATGCAAATCATTTAATATGTTTCGAACTGTGTGAGTCTGAGTGTGTGTGTGTGTTTGTGTGTGTGTCATATAAAATGTACCTAAATATTAATTTGTCTTTCTGTGTTTGGCCCTACAATCAGATATGGACGAATGTATGTCATTAAAAAGTTGTAGAGAACGACGAGATGTCGTTGACATGTCACATGTCGTCACAGACAACACTCAAACTTATTAACAAAAAAAAATACGAGACTTAACGCAAAAAAAATCAAAATCTTAAAAAAAATATATATGAATATCGATATGTGGATAACTACTTCATTCGTCTAGGTATGTATGTACATAGTACATAAGACTGTCCCAAAGAAGCAAAACTCTTAAACTTTATTAAAAGATATTATCTGCCATTTTTCCATTTGATCCATAAATCCCAATTATAAAACTGTTTAGCGATCGGATAACGTTAAGTATATTGGGGTCACAAAGCAAAGCTAGTGGCCACCAGAAAGAAAGGCAAAGTTGAATTGCTTGATGGGATATGGAATGGTAGAATATCAAGGATATCAAATCAACAATCAGCTATATGAAGGGCTTGAGGAACAATATTTTTGAATGAATTTAATAATGAGCGGTTTACTGTAGCGTGAATTATTCCTGAATTTGTCTCAATAATTTAGAGGGAAAATATTTTCAGCAAATAAAACGGACGAAAAACAAAAGTCTACATGGAATTTAATGTTCACAAATACCCTTCCTGGCAAACATTGACTTGAACTGTTACACATTATTCCTTAAATCATCCGCAGAATGACAACATAGCTGAGACAAAAAAGCATCTAAATTTATCAAAAAATAACTAAAAAATCGATTTTTTGAGAAGGTGCACTGAACCTGTTACTTAAAGTTATATGCTACAGAACAAATCGCCCTAACAACGGAATTTTTGCCAAGCAACTTAAAAAGTATCAGTCGATTTTGCCGACAGATGTATACCCTCAGTTAATGTTCCATTATTTAATTATATTTTGACTTCTCTTACCATTATTCAAATTGTTGAACCACTATAGAGTAGTTTCCGAAGAAATGGCCCCAAATTGTCCATTTCGTATTGGACCTAAATAAAAATGGCATAAATATTAGGACGGGCCAAGTTTGGACTATATGGACTGTTTCCTCACTCTATATGAGATATGTTCAAATTTTTATACCCTACACCACATAGTGGTAAGGGTATTATGTCTTTGTGCATTTGTTTGTAACATGGAGAAGGAAGCGAGATAGACCCATAGTTACTTTTGAGGATCTCCATAGAATCACTTTCTAAGTTGATTTATGCATGTCAGTCCGTCTGTCCGTCCGTCCGTCCGTCTGTCCGTCCGTCCGTCCGTCTGTCCGTCCGTCCGTCCGTCTGTCCGTCCGTCCGTCCGTCCGTCTGTCCATGTATTTTTGTGAACAAAATGCAGGTCGCATTTATTATCCGATTGAGATGATTGAATTTTGCACAAATCATTTGTTTGGCCCAAGGACGAACCCTATTGAAATTGGAGATAATCGGTAAAAATTTAGATATAGCTCCCATATATATCTTCGTCCAGTTTGCCGTTTATTGTGCACCAAACGTGTAATATCAGCCCGAATACTACGGAATTTTGCACATACAAACAGATTAGGCCTGAAAATAAGTATGCCAAATTTGATCGAAATCGGTTCAGATATAGCTATAGCTCCCATATATATTTTTCATCCGATTTGTTATTTTTGTCCTCCGCAGCCGTAATATGCACTCTGTAACAACAATATTTGGCCAAACATATCAAATGCAGCTCAGAAATACCTTTGCTAAATTTTATCGAGATCGGTGCAGATTTGGATATAGCTCCCACATATAACTTAGTCCGATTTACTTTTTATTGTGCACCAAACTTCTAATATTTGCCAAATTTGGTGAAGATCGGTTCAGATATAGCTATAGCTCCCATATATATCGTTCATCCGATTTCTAGTATTTGTTACCCACAGCCGTAATGTGCACTTCGTAACAACGATATTCAGGGAAATATATCAAATGCAGCTCAGAAATATATTTGCCAAATTTTATCGAGATCGGTTCAGATTTGGATATAGCTCCCTTATATATCTTTACCAGATTTCAAATTAATTTTGCACCAAAGGGGCAATACAAGTCCGAATTTAAAAGATTTGAACTTTGAACTTTAAATTAAAATTATAATCATAGCGTGTATGATTGAATTCTCCCATAAAAACTTTTAATTGTTACGTAGAGCTCTACTAAATTAGCAATGTGGTGTAGGGTAGCATAAAGTCGGCCCCGCCCGACTTTAGGATTTTCTTTACTGGTTTGTATATGTGGAAATGTATGTGTGAGGTAACAAACATAGCGGACGGAAGTATTCCGTTTTCATATTTCATCTAATACAGATAAAAATGTTGGTATAAGCAACATTTTAAGAAAATCGAACATTTATATTGAATTTTATGTGAAATCATAAATTCCGATAAGTTACAAATTCATATTAGATTTCTTAATGATAGCAATATCTACATATAGCCAGTTGTAAAGAATCGCTGACTTGTTTCGCAAGTTATGACAAATATAAGTATTGGAAATGTTGACCCTTTGTGGGAGGTACCAGAAGGGGTTCGCAGATATATATATCATATTCACAACAGAGAGTTGGATGCTTATTTCGCTTTCTTCGAGCGTTTTATTTTTTAAAATCTTGAACCCTATGTGGGGGAGGTACTTGTGTTAATGGAAACATAAAGGTGTACTAAGTCAGAATGAAATCTGATGTTAATATCACGTTTCATGAGCTTGATGAATACTCAAAATGTTTACCCTCTGTGGGGGAGGTAACAGAAGGAGTAAACGGATATATTCCATTTTCACACCCGACCTTGGGTAAATAAAAATATGGCAATGTATGTAACTCTAAGACAATCGGACTTACATAACATTATATAATAGGTATAATTATTTAAAATGTTGATCCCTTGTACCAAAAGGAGTGGACCGATATATCCCATCTTCACAGCAGATCTTGTGTTATTAGAAGTAATGGGATGTTTGAAATATGCAGAGAAACGAATGCTTATTTTGGATTTTATGATCGTTTTGGTTATTCAAAACGTTGACCCTTTGTGGGGGAGATGCCAGAAGAAATAGCCCGATATCTACCATATTTGTAACAGATCTTGTATTGATGGAAATATTGAGGAGATCTTGTATTAGTGGAAGTGATGGGATGTGTGAAATATGAAGATAACCGAATGCTTATTTCGGATTTTTAAATCGTTTTGGTTATTCAAAACGTTTGCCCTTTGTGGGGAGGTACCAGAAGGAATGGTCCGATCTTTACCATCTTTATAACAAATCTTGGGTTGATGCAAATATTGAGATGTACCAAGTCTGGAATGGAATTGGATGTTAATTTCGCTTTTTATGAGCTTCAGGAATATTTTAAATTTTGTAACTTTATGGGGGAGGTACCCGAAGAAATTTGACCGATATATTCCATCTTCATACCAGACCTTTCATTAATAAAAATACTGTGATGCGTGTAATTTGAAGACTATCGAACTCTTACATCATATTTTATAAAAGTTATAATTATTCAAATTTTGACCCTTTGTGGGGGAGTTACTTGAAGGAGTGGATCGATATTGTCTATTGTCGCACCTTAACGCACTTAGAACTGATGCAAATATTATGATTTGCAAAGTTGGAGCAAAATTGGATTATTGGATTATCTTTCTGTGCAGGAAATTATTGTCTTTGAATTGTCTCCGACCTCGATCTAAGTTTGACAAAAATATTACGATGTACCAATTTTGGACCAAATCGGATACTCCCAAAATCGGAGAGTTATCGTGCGCAGCAGCCAGACAGACAGACGTAAGGACCGTATCAAATATGGCTGAGGGTATAAAAATCTTAAAAAAGCGAAAACCAGGTTGTACCGGGTAACAACGAACAGTTGACAGGACAATATCAAAATGCCGACATAAATTGCAATTTCTTTGCAGCGAGGGTTGTGAGTTGTTGGAACTTATTAAGAAACTTAATTGTTCAATTACATATTTATCTTCTATATCTATTAAACAGGAAAATGTTGTTATGTTTGGTGGTTTGTTTTGTAATTTATAGACCCAAAAACCGCTGAAAAGATTTTTTTGGAAATTTTCAGACATATTAAAGCATCGCCTGAAAGTTACATAGCCTATATAAATTTTTGAAATTCCACTGGGAACTGGAATTTTAGCATCAGAATCAAAGGTGCTTCCAACAAATTTAGATATTGTATGCAAATATCTTTTGATCGGTTATAGATCCAGTCTTCAAATTTGAAATGTGTGAATGAATTTGGTAAAAAAATAAATTTGTTATGTATTTGGTGCGCCAACCACGCTATGTATCTCCTATTCCAATTAAATTCCCGATTTGAAACGGAATTTGATATCAAAATAAGTTTTCCAAGCTCCCATTTAAATATTCCTCCGATTTTATGTATTTGATACACGAAACACCCTATCTCCAGTTTCAATGAAATGTGGAATGTGTGATGGAATTTGGTAAAAAATGTTGGAAATTATATAATGAAATTGGTTCAGATTTGGATATAGCTCCCATATATATTTTCATCCCATTGCATGTATTTGATGCACCAAACGCGCTATGAAACTCCAGTTTCAATGAAATTCGGAATATGTGATGGTATTTGGTCTAAAAATTTATTTGATTTATTATATTTAAATCGGTTCAGATTTAGATTTATATATTATCGTCCGACTTTTGTATTTTATGTGCCAATCACGATATGTATGTTGAAATCGGTTCAGATTAGGATATAGTTCCTATACATATTTTCGGCTGATATCTGATTTCAATAAAATCTGGAATTTGGTCTACAAATAAATTTGTCAAATTATACTGATATATTTGGATATAGTTCTGATATAAATTTTTCTGCCGATT